TAGCTTCAGATCAAGAAGACTAATCTGCCTTCCATATCATTGCTCACAAGAGAGCAATAGCACTGTCTTGAATGGCTGCCCTCAATTTGTAAGATTTGATCAGGAGAATTGATGATCAGGAATCATGGAGGTGTCTCATAAAGTTGACTTGAGGACAATTAACAAAAAATTGCATGGACATTTTTGCTTTAAAAACCCAGTTAATAAACGTATCACACAAACTATAGATTGTCTAGGAACCTGAGGCATAAAGAAAATACTGCCCATTCTGACTCAGATAATATTATTAGGGTAATACCTTTCCACAAGCACATCATGGTTGCACTGTTAAATATATCAACCTGGGTACATGTTCCACTGGTATAAAATAGCAATATTTCCAAGGAAGTGTATTAACCAATGTTGGATAAGTCTAATCAGAACTATGTTCCACATAGTTCAGCAAAACCTATTACCATTTGCAAACATAGGACTGTTTTTTTTAAAATTTACATGTATTCAATAAATACATAGTTGAAAACACTGCAACATACTGCTTTGCAAAAGCCCACAATCCTCCCACTCTGTGTTCTACAAGACAATAACCCAGTTTTCTTGAAAATTATATTTTTATGAACACAAATTCAAGAAAGATTTGAAACATAGATTTAGTTTTGAAATGTCAAACCAGATTGGCTGCCTGATCCATAATTCTTATATAGCAGCATTTTGCATTTTATATTGCCGGTCTTATGATTATTCTAGCTATGGGAGAAATTAATGGAAGAAAGAAGTCCACAGTTATTATGAGTGCAGTAAAAATTTAAAAAGAACTGATCCATACTGAAGTGCACCAACTAGATGGACATATAAGTACAAATAAGTGGAGATTGTGTGCTGATATGTTCAAAGTATTAGCATATGGTGAAGCATATGATTAATCATAATATTATCATAAATATGAAGGTATTGCAGATTACAGTCGACCCTCTGTTTTTGTGGGGGATCCATTCCGGAAGTCACCCCTCCATGAATACACAAAACCATGGACTTCAAGTCCACGAGAACAGAGGGGCGACTGTACTATTATTGTAGCATCACTGGCAGAAAAAGTGGAAGAGGCAAAATCCAGCAAGGGTCAGTAGACAAATAGTTGCATACAGGTACAGAATCTCATACTATATTGATTATCATGTCCAGTCTTAGGCTCAGACATATTGAATTAACCTTGAGTAGTGCTATTCTTTGCCCTTACTGTTGTCCCTATATAAACTAAAAGTAAGAGTGATTTACTACACAGTCTTGCTGGAGAGGTGAATGAAATAAAGAGGATGAATAACTGCAAATTAAACATTTCCCACAAAAGATTTAAAGTAATAATCATTAGGTCTGTGCCTAATGAGCTGTAGAGAGTAGTGGGCAGTTGTTATGTTGGTCTCATAGAACACTCTAATTTCCTTTGTTTTTGTTCAATAGGCTAAATTAACCTTCAGTTTGCCCTTCTTGTCCATTTGGCTGTTCAGTGAATCTGAACATATTCTTACTACTTGTCCCAGTTGCTTGTTGTTCTTAGTGTTTAGGTATTAGATGGAAGGTAAGTAGTCTGAGTCACCACAAAAAAAGACAAAGCATCATCTGTGGTGACTATGAAATCAGAGCTGACCCTAGGCTTGCTATCTGCCTGCATTGTAAGCAGCAAATGAATGGGGCAACCAACATTCAGCTGAAACATGTTAGGTAGCAGCATCAAGTGGTTTTGCTCAATAGAGGTAGAAGAAAATTCCAAGCTGCTTAAAAAGATGGGCAAGAACACGAAGGGCGGGGGGGTGGCAGTAGTTCTCAGACTTCCTCTGAAGGAAACTTAGGCAGGTGACTTTGGAAGACATATGGGGCAAGCAGGCAGAATATGGATCCTTGAAAGAGATGTTTCCAAAGCAGCACAGATGTCCAAATATCTTAAGGGGTAGCAGAATCACAGTTGAACTACTAGAAAACTAAATACATAGTGCAAGTTCTTGTCACTCCCTCTCTCCCCTCTCTCTCTCTCTCTCTCACACACACACACATACACTTCTTGAATCTGAATATTGCTGGTAGAAAAAAACAACAAGAGAACATCTTCTCTTCAAATATGGTGTCATATTATCACATGTCTTAGTTAAACATGAACAACATGGCTGACTGTGCCAGGAGAATTGGCAAGACTGAACAGCTCACAGTAGTTTTAAAATTCACTGCTGGTCTAACTCAAGGCTCAGATACCACTTGATGCTGTTGCATTGGTAAAGTATTAAGCAAAATGTTAACTTGATCAGAACATAGGTGGGAGACCACTTGAAAATGAATGTGAAACCCTCTGGTTTTCTAAAAGAAGAGCAAGCATAATAAATACAAATACAAAATAGAAGGGTTTCAAAAAAACTAACCAGGCAAGAAAGATTCTTCTAGTATATAGTTAATATACTTAAAGAGTTATGAAGAAACCAATAAGTGATAGGGCTGAATTCCAAGTACAAGAAAGGAAACAGGCCAAGAGACATCTCACATTTTTTTGAACTTTAAAAGACATATGTATCTGAGATCATCATTTATAACCCACATGGTTTGATGCTGAATGACTCTCATTGATTATTCCAATGCACTCCTTTCAACAGCATGATTCATCAGTCCAACTGTAGGTGATTATAACATCTGATTCGGGGGCAAGAAAAAAAGTCATTTTTAAGTAGGTCACATCCTAAGAGTCTCAAAGTCTCCTTATTATCCAGCTTTCCCTTCTTCTGTCAGCTTCTCCCATGGGCAGATCACTTCTTTTGCAGAGTCTTTGTAAGCCCAGTGGCCATTCTCTTCTTCCTCCTCCAAGTCTATAGGGTAGATTTTGCTCTCCAGAGGAATGTCCACTTTTATTTGGAAGAAGCTGGGATGCAAAAGAAAACTCATCACAATCCAGGTATCTTCCAGAGTACTTTCAGAGAGTGGAAGGCAGGATATAAGTAAGGTCTTTGACCTTGGCCTTTGCTTTTGAGGAAACACCAGAATGGTTTCTCCTCCAACACATATGCCTATCAGTCTGCATTGTTGCTGTGACTGACACAAAAAAGTTTTTTGGTACCAAAAAAGTGACACAAAATTGGAAGCAATGTCTTCCTCTCTGATTCTAAAGGCATTACTGGGATTGTGGCATATTTCCATACAACAGGCTCAGAATTAAGGTGCAAGTAAAGTTGTATGTGAGCCAGCATGGTGTAGTGGTTTGAGCATTGGACTACAACTCTGGAGATCAGGGTTTGAATCCTGGCTCGACCATGTAAACCCACTGGGTGATATTGGGCAAGTCACAATCTCTAAGCTCAGGGGATGGCAGTGGCAAACTCCCTCTGAAGAAACTTGCCAAGAAAGCCCCATGATAGGTTCACCTTAGGGGTGCCATAAGTTGGAATGACTTGAAGGCAGACAACTACAACAAGTTGTATGTATGTTTTGGCTGGCATCCTGTTGGTGAATTACAATGGCATAAGTCAAACTTACACCATTACAACTCACTTTTTTGGTTTCTGCACAAGTCAGAATTCACTGACCATGCAATGACACAAATCCTTCCCTCTCCAAAGCACCTTTACTGAGCATCAGTTCCCCCACAACTTCACCATTTCCTCATTAAAGCTTTAAATATAAGCTATTTTCCTGTAGCTGGAAGCAGAACAATGACATTGTTTGCAGGGACATCTCGGAACAACAAGGTCTGTTGTTTGGTCCCAAGGAATCCATATGCATGTTAGCTTCTGGTGCATGAAAGGCCATCTAATGTATGGACAGTTAGATTTCATAATGGGGGTGGCTTCTATCATATTAAAATATACACTCATCTCCCCAACAAAGCATCATTTAGAATGGCTCACCCACCTGATACTTTCTGGGACTGTTTATATGATGACAAGAATAAGCAATTTCAGTGTAGTGGCACCTTCCTTATGGAAAAACCTCTTCAGGAAGGCCCCTTTCTTATTGGCTTTTAGGAGCAGGGCTGGCCATGCCACTGGGCAAAAATGGTACCGTATTTTTCAGCGTATCTGGGGTTAAAGTCAGGGGTCGTCTTATATGCTGGGTATAA